TACTAGGGTAGGAGACAGTGGTTTCTATGTAGTGTACTGGTGGATGTAATAAGTAAAGAAACAAAAAGTACAATGATACAAATGGATACCATTCCTTGTTAAACATCCTGTGGTAGGCACAGCAATGAAGAAAAAAAGAAATAAGTTGTCCTTAAATCACTACAGAAGGCGCAATAGTACAGTGATATACTATTAATTGTTAGAAACACAAGTCTAGGTACAACAATGGAACAAACAATAATATCTTGTTATAAGTCGTTAGTAAGGTACAATAATACAACAATGTACCATTTACTGTTAGAAATGCTCAACAACTTGAAACAACTTGAATTACAAATATTGAAATATCGGATTATAGAACAACTTGAACTACAAATGTTGAAATATCAGAGTATAGAACAACTTGAATTACGAATGTTGAAATATCGGATTATAGAACAACTTGAACTACAAATATTGAAATATCGGATTATGGAACAACTTGAATTACAAATATTGAAATATCGGATTATAGAACAACTTGAACTACAAATGTTGAAATATCGGATTATAGAACAACTTGAACTACAAATGTTGAAATATCAGAGTATAGAACAACTTGAATTACGAATGTTGAAATATCGGATTATAGAACAACTTGAACTACAAATGTTGAAATATCGGATTATAGAACAACTTGAACTACAAATATTGAAATATCGGATTATGGAACAACTTGAATTACAAATATTGAAATATCGGATTATAGAACAACTTGAACTACAAATGTTGAAATATCGGATTATAGAACAACTTGAACTACAAATGTTGAAATATCGGATTATAGAACAACTTGAACTACAAATGTTGAAATATCGGATTATAGAACAACTTGAGTTACAAACTGTCTCCTACCCTAGTATAATTAGTAAAGAAACAAACATCCACCAAGACACTACATAGAAACCACTGTCTCCAACCCTAGTATAATAAGTAAAGAAACAAACATCCACCAGTACACTACATAGAAACCACTGTCTCCTACCCTAGTAAACACAGGGTAACAAACAAGGAATGTTGTCACTTTGTATCATTGTACCTAACACAGGTTAACTAACAAGGAATGGTATCACTTTGTATCATTGTACCTAACACAGGGTAACTAACAAAATAAGGAATGGTATCACTTTGTATCATTGTACCTAACACAGG